CTGATGGCAGTGCGGAGCCACGGGAGGAAGCAGAGGCCCCAGAAAGGCTGGATCCTGCCTGTGGCCCATGGCTCTAGCCGCTTGGCCTTTAGCCCGGTGGCCTCCTCCCACCCAGGGCTCTCCCTCAGGCAGACCCCACTTTGTAAGCTCCAGCCCCTAGTGGATTAGAGCCCTGGGCTCCCTGGGCGACCGCTGAAGCTTGGCTTACCTGTGAGGTGCAGGCTGCTGGCCGGAAGGAGCAGGGCGTGCCTACCTGCCCAGCAGTCCAGCCGTCCGTCCGCAGGGCCCCACACCGGGGCCTGCTGCATGGCGGCCGGCGGCGCTAAGGCGGCTGGCATGAAACCCAAGCTGAGAGGACATCAATCATTCATGGGGTTGCTTTCTGGGAAACCCTAACCCCAGTCCAGTAGGGCCAAGTGACCAGCCAGGCCCCTCCATCCTCGAAAATGCCAAATGGCTGAAACCCCCTCACCCTGGGCCCCTCCAGCTCAGTGCAGGCTCTGGGTTCCTCCAGGGTGCACCTCCTCTGACCTCACCCCCATGCCGCTCAGTCTGGCATTCAAGGCCTCCGTGATCTTTCTTCCTCAATTTCACACACCCTCTGCTCCAGCCAGGATGTCATCCATGAGGGGGCCGTTGTGGGCAACTTGTCCTGTCCTTTCTCACCTCCCAGCCTGTGCCCACACTCTTCCTCCTGCCTGAGATGCCTTCCCTTGTCCTCTCTTAGCTAAGTCCTGCCCATGTCACACAACTGGGTTGAGTTCTCAACTCTTCAGCAATATTAGCCCCATTTTACAGATGAGGCAACTGAGGCTTAGAGAAATTAATTTGCTGGGTCTCCCAGCTCATAAATGGCAGAGCTGGAGTCCGAAGCTCACTGCAGCCACCGTTTCCCGATTCCCCTTGTTGCCGAGGACACATCTGGCTCAGCCCTGACCACACGGGGCAGAGGGCCTGGATTAGGGCCTGTGCTACCTGCCTCCCTTACCCTAATCCCCCTCAGGGCCCGATCTCAGGCCATCAGCTCTCAGGGCCGGGATTAGGGCCTGTGCTGCCTGCCTCCCTTGCCCTAATCCCCCCAGGGCCCGATCTCAGGCCATCAGCTCTCAGGGTGTGTAAGCAGCTCTATGGGTCCCGAGAGCTAAGGGTGCTGCTCCCTGGTGCTGCATCTCTGAGGCTTGTCGCCCTTCTCCCCATGGCCACAGAACAGGCGAGCGGGCAGCATGGATCAGACCTGGCCCCCCACCCCCAGAAGCCCTCTGTGGGGGTTGTGGCTCCCACGAATGGTGCTGAGGGGCAACCCTTAACCAGGAGGAGGAGCAAGAGGGAGAGGGGGCTTCAAGGGTCCCGGAAAGGCGTTGGCAACTCTGGGGAACAGACCCCCATCCAGGGCCCCGAGGCCCCAGGGAGCAGCAAGAACCCCTTTAAGACAGGAGGACAAGAGGCGCCAGCCCCCGCAGCCCCTACGCGGGCCGCTCATCGTCGCCAGTCCCGCCGGCACCGTCCTGCTCCCGAGCATGATGCTGCTCAGAAGATGCACGGGCCCCTGCTCAACCGCCTCTTCGGGAAGGTCAGCTGGGGCCTGGGCAAGGCTGGGGAGCCCGAGGCTGGGTGCGGGGACTCATGCCCTCAGCCTCAGCCCACCCCGCCCTTAGAGCTCAGGCCTCCTGCCACTTCTGCTCTAGGCTCTGGAGCTGGGCTGTGGGGCAGGGTTTCTGGAGTTTGGAGAAGGGTACATCTTGGGCTGCCCTGGGCAGTTGATGGAACTAGATCTTAAACCCAAGGTTCCTTGAGAGCTCAGGGCCCCAGGAGCAGAAAGGGAGGTGGTCTCTTTTTCTGGGGCCCACCAGACTTCGGCTGCTTTCTCCTGCCCTCATGGGACTGGCCCTGCCAAGGCCAGTGTGTGTGTGTGTGTGTGTGTGTGTGTGTGTGTGTGGCGGGGTGGGGGGTGGCTGGAGGAGGAAGAATGGTCAGGGCCCTGGCTGGCCCTGGGGACATGCTGGACTGTACTCCCGCAGGACCGCGAGCTGGGCCCCGAGGAGCTGGATGGTGAGTGACCCTTGCTGGTGGCAGCGGGTGGGAGGTGACCCTGAACCTGGCAACGGGGCCTAACCTCCCTCCTCTGCAGAGCTTCAGGCTGCCTTTGAGGAGTTTGACACTGACTGTGACGGCTACATCGGCTATCGGGATCTGGGCACCTGCATGAGGACACTGGGCTACATGCCCACCGAGATGGAGCTCATCGAGGTCTCACAGCATGTCAAAATGCGAAGTCAGTCCCTGACCCCGCCCTCCCGGGATGGCTCTGGGAGTCCAGCAGGGATGATGGGGAACAGGGAGATGAGTTTCCAGGGCAGTTTGACAGTTTGACATTGGCCCCAGCAGATGCAGGGCGGTGCAGGGTGGGAGGGGTGAGGGGGGGTAAGGAAGGACTGGGGATCCAAGAGAGACTCTTGGGGCTCTTTTGGGGCTCAGGTTGAGGAGCGTCACCCCTGACCTTTTGATAAAAGTGTTCCCTGCTGGTACTGGCCAACTCGCTCTCTGTCTGTCTCTGTCACTCTTTCTGAGACTCCGGAAAAGAGCCTCGTGAGGTTCAGTGAGGCCTAGCGTGACAGAACCCTGGCCATTCCTTGTGATTAAATGTCAGACGGGCGGGTACCGTGTGATTATCCTTAGCTGATTTGTCAAATATCAGATTCCCTTGGTTCTAGGACACCTGCCTTTGTTTTCTCTTTACGGTTTCAAAGTGGGGTGTGATTTACAATCGACGTGAACATTTCGTGTCATGCTTCTTTTTCTTTCCCCAAAGCTGTTATTTGACCACAAGTTTTTTTTATAACCGATGGCATCTTAGAATCAAGGGACAGCATGGGTCCACTTCTTTAAGGGCATTTATTGCTGCCCACAGGGTCCACGCACATGAAAGTTATGCACTCCGACCCCAGTAGCACCCGAGGAGTAGATTCTTCTGCCCCCAGCCTAGGATGAGGAAGGCGGTTTAGTCAGTCACCCAAGGCCACTCACCATCAGCGGCAGAGCCAGCCTTGAACCTGGGGCTGTCTGGTTCCAAAGCCTGTTCTCTTGCCTGGGTGCTTTGCTGAGAGCACCCCCAGCTGAAAGTGGTGCTTCTGCTTTCTACCCCGCTGAGGGCATGGCCGTTGGGTGTTCCTTCCTGGATGCAGAGTTGGGGAGGGGCTGACCCTCATGCTGTCCCTTCTTGGGCCCCAGCCCTCCATTGTGACACTCTGTCTGGGTCCGCAGTGGGTGGCCATGTGGACTTTGAAGAATTTGTGGAACTGATGGGCCCAAAGCTGAGGGAGGAGACTGCGCACATGTTGGGGATTCGAGAGCTGTGCATCGCCTTTCGAGAGGTGTGGGGCGGGGCCTGGCGTGGGAGGTGGGTGTTAAGTGGGCGGCTGCCTGGCACCCTTGCTGGCCTCCCATCCAGGCCCGGGGAGCCTCCCCCGCTGGAGGCTGGTGGGACAAGGGCCAGGGAATGGAGAGGGTTTGGCTGACCCCATCTCGGGGATCCACCCATGCAGACTTCCTGGAGCAGGAGTGGGAGGGTTTGGACCATTGAAGGTGGGGACATCCAAGCACAGCATGTACTAAGGTGGAGATGGGGCCACCACGGGTAGGACAGGCTGAGCTCTGCTGGGATCCTAGTTTGACAGGGACAGGGATGGACGAATCACAGTGGCAGAGCTGCAGCAGGCAGCACCGGCCCTGCTGGGGGAGCCGCTGGTGGACCCTGAATTGGATGAGATGTTCCGAGACGTGGACCTCAATGGGGACGGCACTGTGGACTTTGATGGTGAGCCTCCTACCCAGACAACCCTCGTCCCCCATCCCTCCAGCTCCCAGGCTGAGTCCAGCATCTGGGATCCCTGACCTGGACTGTCCCAAGCTCCGCCCCTTTCTCTCCCACAGAGTTTGTGATGATGCTTTCCACGCACTGAGGTTCCAGAAGGGAGACTGCATTGCCCCTCTGGCCCCAGACTAGCAGGGTTCATGCTGCATACCCTCCCAGGGAGGCCCCAGGATGGGAGAGGCTAGCAGCCTCCCGGCTTCTTCTGCCCCTGACAACACCTGGCCGGAGAGTTTGCTTGTGATGTCACCTGCCCACCCTCATCTTCACCTCCCTCCCACCCAAGCTGCCTGGAGAAAACCTGCCCATCATTCCCCAGTGTGAGCAAGATTTAGACCTCTCTAGCCGCTTGGGAGGTAGGGAGCTCCCTAGCACTGGCGGCATTCAAAGATGGGACAGTTTGGGGAGTTAATTAAGAGGGTGGCTAGACGCCCCATTACTTATATGTAGAAATGTTAAAAAAAAAAAAGCTGAACTTGAAAGAAAGAAAGGGATGACCCTAGGTACCAAAGATACAGAGAACTCTAAGCTGAGTGGTGGTAGGGAGCAGACACAGTGGGGGCTTCAGACCTGGAGGTTTGAGAGCCTGGGCTCTGACATCAGGAGTGACAAAAGACCTATAAAAGTGTGGGAGCAAGACATGACCTTGAGTACATTCCAGGGTCTCGAAAGGGTACCCTGTTCTTGCAAAGGGAACCAAGATATAATTCTACCTACCAGCCTGAGGAATTGGCAAGGATATAGATATCCCAGACCTTGAGTGGAAAAAGTTACCCTAGAGAATCAAAGACTCAGGCCTGCACATCAAGCAAGAATGAGGTCTATCTCCATGGTATGAAAAGCTGGAGAAATAGGAAAAAACTGCTGAGAAGGGCACTCTTTCAACCCCGGGTACATGGGACACACACACAACTGTGTCACGTCTGAAAATGAACTCATGACAAAAAATTACAAATCACATAAGGAAATAAGTCACCCTGAGCGAGTGCAGGCAGATGCAACAAACAGGGGAATTGGCACTCCAAAGTGTAAATAATAGAACCATCTAAAAGAGACCATAAAGTAAATGCGAAAAAAATTAAAAAGATAAAAGAAGGAAGAGAAACCAATAACAGGATACTAATAAAACTGAACAGGGAGATTAAAAAAAAGTAACACAATGCAACTTCTAAAAATAAAGGCTATAGGGCCGGCCGAGTGGTGCGTTGGTTAAGAACTGGCTTGGGAAGCCAGAGGGCCCCGGTTCGGATTCCACATATGAGGACCAGTGACACTGCCCTCTACAGCTCAAATGCTGAACAACAACTTGACCTGGAGCTGGGCAGCCGTGAGTCGCAGGCGATGGCGTAGGCTGCAGCCCCTGCTGCAGTGGGTTGCCTTGGGCTACCGTGTGTAGCCAGCAGCCAGCGTGAGCGGGCAGCAACCGCAGTGAGCGGCCGTCCAGAAGCTGGCGACTGATCTGCCTCGCCTGGGAAGAGCACAATGATGGTGCCAACTTGGGCCAGTGAAGCAACGTCCTCCACAACTAGCCTGAAGAACAAAATGACAGCAACTTGTCTGTTCCCCTTCCCCCAATTCCCCAGCGCTGTTCCCATCCCCCAATAAAATTCTTTAAAATAAAATAAAATAAAAATAAAAATAAAGGATATAGCCATTGGAATGAAAAAAAAATAGGTTAGTTAAACAGATTAAAAATAATGGAAGAGATGATTAATAAACTGGAAGCTACTATCTGAAAAATCGCCCATAAGGTAGCACTGAGGGATAAAAAGATGGAAAATATTAAAGGGTAGTTAAAAGTCATTAGGTTTCTCAGAAGGAGAAAATATAGAGAATGGACATGAGGCAATATTTAAAGAGATGATGGCTGAAAATTTCCCTAACGATGTCCATAAAGACAAGTGCCCAGACTGAAGGGGCACACTGGAGCCAGAGAAGGATAAAAACAAATGTACATCTAGATGCATCCCAGTGAAACTGCAGAATACAGTTCGCACCCACATTGTCTTGTTGAAGGGTGGTTTCAGTAAGAAGGAAATTCAGTCCAGAATGAAGGCAGAGTATGTACCAAATAATAGTCAGGGAAGAAACCAGTGAGCACATTGGTAGATCTAAAAAAGCATTTACTATATAAAAAAATTGATTTGGGGGATTTAAAAAATAAGGACGGGCTAAAATAATAGACAAAAACAAAATGGAAGGTTTGAGGGGATGCTTTAGACATGCTGAAATCTTTTTTTCCTGTTTTTCCTAGAGGAGGAAAGATTAACTGATTAACTTCAGACTTTTAAAAAACTATTTAAAGGTAACTACTAATATAATATAAATAGAGATAGAATGTTCCATTCAACGGTGAAATCAATAGAGGAGGAAAAGGGGGATGTGAAGCGTTCTTGGTTAAGCAAGTAGAAGGCTGGGAAGGAGGGGAAAAAAAGCAAAGAAAAACAAAGTTCACAGAAAACATTAAAACAGAAGGTAGAAGTAATCCTTAAAAAATAAAAATTACAGGGGCCGGCCGAGTGGCGCGATGGTTAAGACCTGGCTTGGGACGCCAGAGGGCCCCGGTTCGGATCCCACATATGAGGGCCAGTGACACTGCCCTCCACAGCTAAGATGCTGAACAACAGCTCAACCTGGAGCTGGGTTGCGACGGCGTAGGCTGCAGTGGGTTGCCATGGGCTACCATGTGTAGCCAGCAGCCAGAGTGAGCGGCCGTCCAGAAGCCGGCGACTGATCTGCCTCTCCCGGGAAGAGCGCAATGATGGTGCCAACTTGGACCAGTGAAGCAACGTCCTCCACAACTAGACTGAAGAACAAAAGGACAGCAACTTGTCTGTTCCCCTTCCCCCAATTCCCCAGTGCTGTTCCCATCCCCCAATTCCCCAATAAAAATCTTAAAAAAAAAAATTACAATAAATATAAACAAATTAAGTTTTTCAGTTAAAAGCCTGAGTCTCAGTCCCAGAAGAAAGCATCAATATTAGAGGGGGTTCCTTGTGAGTGACAGAGACCCAAAATAACAATACCTTATACTGGATAGAACTTTATTTCCCCCACAGGAAGTTTTAGGTGAAATCCAGCTGTATGGTTTTCAGGAACCCAGGCACCTTCTACTGGCTTCTCTGCCATTCCTAGAGTGTACCCACATTTGTTTGTTTTCCAGGTGGCAGGATGGAGGCAGGAACAAAGGAGAAAGGGGGCAAAGAGCATGAACCACATAATTATACCCCATTGGCAGGGCTCCTTGCCTGGCACACGTAGCTGCAAAGGATGCTAGGAAATGCAACCCTTGTTTTGGGTGGTCACGTGCCCAGTGAAAAACCGGAGGTTCTACAACTATACACGGGCAGAGGGCAGATTCCAAAGGGCAAATATCAGGCTCTTCCCCACAGCTGAGTGCAAGATATAAGACACATTCAAAGCATAATGACAATGGAAAGGCTGAAAGTGATGGCTTGGAAAAAAGATTTACTAGGAGAAATTTAACCAAAAGAAAGCTATGAGCTATGAGGCAAAAAGCATCAAAGATAGAGTCACAATTCACTAGGGAAATCTAATGTTCCTAAATGTATGCAACTATTAATGTTTTCCAACTAAAAATAAATTATATTTCGAGTTAGATATTCATTATTCCCTGCGGATAGTGTTGCTGTCAATCCAACTTGGATGACATCAGAACTTTAAACAAGGGGTGACTGGTTAGCTCAGTTGGTTAGAGTGCGGTGCTGATAACACTAAGGTTGCTGATTTGACCCCCTCATGGGCCAGAAGCCGGAGTCAACATGTAAAATAATGGGTGTGGCTGTGTTGAAACTTTAATAAATAAGAATGAATGAAACTTGATTTATTGACACTGAAGTTTGAATTTTATAAGCTTTCATGTGTCACAAAATATTATTGACTTTTTCCAACCATTACTGAAATGTGAAAATCATTCTTAGCTTGGGGGCCCTATTGGGCCTGTGAGCTATCCTTGCTGACTCCTAATAGTCTCATAATAGGGAGAATCACAACTTCTGGGATCACTTTGTTTAGTTAAGATAGTTGAATGACAAAACGTTACCAGTGTAGCAGCAAATCTGGGTATTAATTTGCCAATTTGCTCATTTTCAATAATGATTTTTGTAATTTTTCTTTTTTCCTGTTTGTTCTGATGATATTTACTGAAATCTAATTTTATGTCTGATTAATCTGGTATTACACACTGTGGGCCTGGTTCTGTATGTCTTTGTTTTTTATTTCACCTTTGTAGTTTTTATTTTCTTACAAAAGTATTGGTCCATGATGGAAGAGAAAACTGGTCCTTTATCACAGCTCTTTTGAGAACCACGGATTTAGGAGTTGCTGCATGCAAGAGGTGTCCCCAAAAGTGCCCTAACTAGGAGGCTGAGGGCGGGAAGTTTGGGTGGGCCAGGAGAGTGGAAGTGAGAGCAGCGGTCTGGGTGTTCATTTTTTCAACAAAGTCACAAAACTCCAACAGCACTTCATACACAGTGGAGGCCAGGCCAAGTCCCTTCTTAAAGACACTCACGTTTTACTGGGGGAGACAGACTGTAAATACCTAATTACATGAACAGGGTCTCCTTAGCCCACAGGTGTTCATCCTTCCCCTCGGTTGGCTGGTTCGTAACCACTAGCTCAGTGCATCTTCTCTCCCCGCCGGTGTCCTGCAAGCCCTGGATTATGTTCCTAACTCTGCCCTTGGGTGAGTCAGTCTCTCTGGGCCTCGGCTTCATCTGTAAAATGGGGCTGAGGCAGAAAAGACCACAAATAACCTGTTAGCGCTTACTTAGCACAGGACCTGGTGCCTTCTAAGAGTTAAATAAATGGTAGCTATTATGACCTCAGATTTCAGCGGTCTCAAAGATTTTGTTTCCTGGTTCTTAAAATTCTCAGATTTTCCAAAATTCTGAGATGATCTGTTACTGGTGATCTGTGGTTCTGTTTCTGATCACTGAGGTTCACTGTCACACTGGCCCTGCTTCTCATGTCCTTTGTCCCCTATTTCTCCCAAGCCTTGCACCGAGGAAGTAGGGCAGTGGGTGGAGGAGGCTGGGCCACTGCCTTGTCATGGCCCACATTCTGAGCTGGCTGTGGCAGCGCAGGGCCCCAGAGCCAGGCTGGAACAGGATAGCAGCCTCCAGGTCCCAGGCCTGCGTCATCTGAATGCCCTTGGCCAGGGAAGGCACCAACGCTGCTCCTCTAGGTAAAGACAGGGCAGGGTGGACTCTGCTAAGGGCTGGGGCAGCGGGGAGGCTGAAGAGGCTCCTCCAGGCTTGCAGGGCAGAAGAATCCCAGGCCCAGCTCTGCCCCTAAGGAGCAGCCTCTGGCTGTGCTGTGTACAACGGGGAGATGGGTGGTCCTGGCGCGCCTCAGCCCCAAGGTCAATCCTTTTCTCAGCCTTTGCGGGAGGGGGCTTGGCCAGGTTGGTGGGCTGAGCAGAGCTGGTGCAAAAGAAAGAGCAATTGTCTCTGCTGGCTATAAGTACCCCATTTATTAGCACAAGACACCACGGACCCAGAAGCCTCAGGGCCTGAGAATAAGTTAAGGCACAGAGCAGGCGAGGGGGCGACTTTCCCAGGCCCAGGTAGTGGACCCGGGGCCCGCGGGTCCCAAGCTTCCTGAGCAAATTCCAGACCCGGCTGGAGGTTCGAGGGTCCTGAAGGGGCTTTTCCGTTGATATGAAGGACCGGAGCGGCACGGGCTGAGGCGCGCCCCCTGGGGACACGAGGAGGCTGCACAGGTCGCCGGGGAAGACGTGGATCCCGGCCGTCTGCTGTCAGCTCACTTCTCGAAGTAGGGCAGGTAGAAGAACTGGAAGCCTCGGTGGCCCTTGACCGCACAGTAGATGAAGATCACGTGGTAGACTGTGGGGCGGGGCCAGTCAGCGGATAAGCCCCGCCCCACCCCACCCCACCCCCGGCTCCGCCCCACCCAGCTTCTACCCGGCGCCTGCTCGCACCTCCCGGGACCAACAAGAGAAAGCCAGGCACGAAGAAGATGGCGCTGGAGACACCTGCGAGAGGACAGGAGGGACTGGGTCAGGGTGGGGGAGGCACTAAACAGGCCGAGGGGATCACTGCCTGAGCTAGTCTCACCTTCCGCAGTAAAGGGGGGGCATATCCGACTGGGAGGGTGGTGAGTGTTGGGAAGGGGGAGGGCTTGCCAAGGAACCCTGGGCACAAGAGGTGAGCGCTGCCTGCGGCGGTAGGAGGGGGCGCTCACCTGGCGAGGGGGCCACCTCCAGTCCCACGCCGATCAGGATCAGCACTGCACACAGATGAAGCCTCGAGGGTGAGGGAGGAAGCAGGGGGCAGGGTGGGGACCTCCACCCGCAACCCCCAACAGGGCTTAGGCCTGAAGAATGGTGTGTCCCCCACCTGAGCTGAAGGTCCCCATGTGCAGAGACCCTCCCGGGTAAGCTCACCAAGCTCTGTTTTCTGAGCAGGGCACCTGACAGGCCCTGGGAAATGTCTGCAAGGAGAGATTTGTGTCTGCTCCTTGATGTGACGTTTTAGTCAATCAATATTTATGGAGCACCTGCTGTGCACCTGGTACTGGGACTCTGTCAGGGAAAGGCAGATGAGGTCCCTGCCCTCATGGCCCTTTCCTAGTGGAGCAATCAACAAGAACCTGCAAGCTACAGCCCTGGTGGGGGGGAAGATCAGATAGCATGGGAGCTTGGGGGGTCAGAGAGGGGCTTCTTGGAGGCAGTGCAGGGATAGCAGCAGCAATAGCAGTTAACGTTTAGTGACTGCTTTCCAGGCTGGCAGACTCTGCGCTAAGCATGTTACATGCACTGCCTTCTTTAACTGTCACCTTGACCAAGTGAAACAGGTATTATCACCCCATTTCACAGAAGATGAAATTGAGGCAGAGAGAGGGAAAGTAACTTGCTCAGGGCTACATTTGGAAGGTGGGGACGATCTGACTCCAGAGGCTTTGCTATGGGCATCGTGCAGGCAGAGAGGGAAAGGAGTATTCCACACAGAGTGAAGAGCGTAACAAAGGTCCAGAGTGTGGAGGGAACCTGGGGCTTTATAGGAGCTTCTAGCTTTTGGTGAGACTAGAAAGATAAGTGCCCAGGCTTGAGTCTGACAGGCCTTGGGAAGGGATGTGGACTTTGGCTGAGGACAGTGGGCACTGGGGGAAGGTAGGCAGGTCTCTGGATCAACTTGTCAGACCCAGAGGGTCCTGGGTCCCTAGGTAGAGGATGGGATAGGGGGAAGGTGAGGAGCTGGGTTCTGCACCAAGGCGGGGGGCGGGGGAATACAGCACGGAGGCTTGAGGGGCCACCATGGACTGTTAAGTAGTTTGTGCCCTGCACAGAACACATCATAAAGGGTATAATGGGGTCTGAAACTCACTCCCTGCACCCTGGCTTAGGGCTGTGGGCTCTGCCCACTCAGAAGAGGCATCTTTTTCTAATTCCTATCAAATTCCCTTATGGAGGTCTAGGAGGCCTCCAGGCCCGGCAGAGTCACTGATGTGGGTTTAAATCCCAGCTCTTCTGGGACATGGGAATTGGCATTTCCCTGAGCACCTGCTCCTGCACACAGGTTCTGGGTCACAGTGTGACCTCTGTAAGGCAAGGACAATAAGCCTGCCATACACCTGGCTCAAAGTAGACACAGAATAAATGGTGGCTGTTACTCTTCTGTTCCCTGATGTATTAAATAGGCTAAGTTAAAGAAAGAAAAGTTTGGAGCACTGTACCAGGTTTCATTTTCAACAACATGGGATTTCCAGGAGGCTGGACCTGTCTCTGTAAGGCCTCAGTTTCCTCACCTGTAGAATGGGGGTGGGGTGATGGCAGCCAGCTATCTCCTCAGGATGCTGGGAGCTTTGGTGTGCCAATGGGGATGTAGAGCCAACAGAAGAGGAGGGCAGACCCCGTCATGAAGGCTCTCAGGGACACTCACCGAGCCCCAGCAGCAACAGCAGGAAGGAGGCCAGCACTACCCTGCGGTTCTTCTGGATCAAAGGGTGTTGAGTCCAGCTGGATGGAAGGAGAGCAGGATGGGTGTGAAAGGCCCACTGCCTCCGTTTATCCTCCCTCACCAGGGGAACTGCCAGGGCTGCCTGTTATTGGGGCACAGGCCACAGGTGACTCAAGGTGAGTAGGGTCTCACCTGCAGCAGGCATTGTAGGAGCGCTGTGTGCTGTTGCTGATGGTGCTAAAAGACCACTGCGAGCTACGGATGGATGTTCGGCAGGAATCCCTGCAGCACAGGTAGGTCCAGTGAGGGGGCAGGGAGAGGCAAGGAAGAAGTCCCTTCAGAATAGCAATCGTGTGGATGATGTGGTGGGGGATGGTGCAGGGACTAAGGCTGGGTGTTCCTGTAGGATAGGAGGCACTGAGGGACGGGGTGAAGAGGAATTCGAGGGCTGGGGGATTCTGCAGGACTGAGCTGGAGGAAGGCTGGGAATTTGAGCTAGGGATTCCTGCAGGACTGGTGATGTGTGGGAAGGTAAGGGCCAGACCAGGCTGGGGGATTCTGCAGGATAGAGCCTGGTGAGGGTGGGTGGGTGAGGCTGGCACTAGGGTAGGGAGACCCTGCAAGACGGGAACCCAGAAGAGTGGGGGTCAGGCTAGGAATCCTTGTAGACAGGATGAGAGAGCTGAGGTGAGGTGAGGTGGGGGACTGGACAGGGACCTGAGGATAGCAGCCGGAGGAATGGGGATAGGGGTATAGGGTGGTTCCCCACCTGGCCCTGACCTGATGCTGACTCCTCCATCTGGCTCTGGAGAGGCCTGGGCTCCATCCTCATCGTTCTCCAGGTTCTATTCCAGAACATAGGTCTCAGGGGTTACTGCGTTCAAGCTCTTCCTCACTACCCTCTCAGGGAGAGGAGGAAAGCAAGCCCACACAGCTGTTTGCCTGGCCGCTTGACAGCTGCTCACCTGGCCCTCCACCCGCCCGCAGAACAGGTTTGATGATTCATAGAAACCGAAACCCAGGGAGTAGGTGGGAGCTGGGGGGGCTGGTTGAAGGCTCCCAGCATGGGTCTCAGAGCCAGGAGATCTTCCAGGTTTGGGAGTCAGGGTGGAGCTCTCAGGATGGTGTTTCAGGGGCCCAATATGGAGGCTCTGGATTTGGGATGCCAAGGAAGGGCAGGCCTATGGTTTCCTGGTTTGGGGCACAGGAATCCCCCACATCTTCAAGAAGAGGATCCTAGAGTTGGTGGAGGTCCTCTGGGAAAATAGTGATTTCCAGTTTAGTGGGAGTCTAGGAGTGGGCAAGGACTCATCATGTGAATGGGGGCTCCTGGTTCTGGGGGGAAGGATGGAGTGGGAACTTCCAGAAGAGGGGGGTGCAGGTTCCTGTTAGAGCCTCTGGTCTGGAGCTCAGGGGGCTGCTTCTGAGTATGGGGAAGGTCTGGTCCAGCACAGCAGAGGAAAGAGGGGATCAGTACCCAAGATGGGGGAGGACTCTAGATGGGATCTCCAGCTGGGGGTTGGAGATAAGCTCCCAGGTCCGGGGTCTGGGCTCTCAAGTGGTAGCTGGGGACCGAAATCAGAGCTGACAGGTCTGGGCAGGGCTATCGATCAGTGGCCACATTCGGGGGTGGTCTCCTGTTTCGGCTAGGGCATCTAGACAGATTCTCCCCTGACTTGGGGTTCGCCAGTGTGCAGCCTGGGGTCCCGCCCGGAGGGTGAGGAGGGCCGGGCCGGTCACCTGGTAGCGCAGCCGGGACTGCTTGTCCTCATCGGCCACCTCGAACCGGGCCCGGCGCTCGAAGTGCAGCGGTCCGAAGCGGGAGACCCCGCTGGACTCGGGCACAGGGCCCGCGTCCTCCAGGGACAGCTCGAAGGCGTCATCGATGCTGAACTGGGGCCGGGCGGCGCTCATAGCCCCAGCCAAGTCAGGGACCGTACGCCGTCGCCATCCGTGCCAGCCTGCCGGGAGTCGCTGCGGCCCCGCCCCCGCGCGCAGGCCCCGCCCCGTGCCGTCGCCTTGGGAGCTCGACATCCGGCGCCCCTGCCGAGGCCACGCCCCCGCCCTGCCCTCAGCAGGCCACTGCTGCCGAGCGCCGAGCTGAATGGTGGGCGGGGCCTCCTCTCGTTCGGACCGCTGAGCCCCTGGCGCCGCCTAACGGCCGCCTCAGCGCTCAACTAAAGGTGCCGCGCTCGGGTGCAGTCCCCAGGTCCCCAGGTCTGTACCAAGGGCTTGGAGGGACTGCCTGCCGCGCGCCATCCAACCAGGTCGGAGACTCGGCCTTCTGCATTCCAGGCCGCTGCTCCAGTGCCAAGGAAATTCCTGGGAACTGTTTCCCTACCGTTACTCACCACGGCCCTGCACCGGAAGGGCATTCTCACCACCTTGCAAACGTGCAAACTCAGAAAGTTTGTTGCTTCCACTCTCCTCCAATCCACTCTCCACCCAGTAGCCAAGTGAGCTTTTAAAACATATCTGATCCTTTTACCTATGTGTTATTCTTAAATAAAACTTTTTTTTTTTAAGCGTGCTGCTAAATCTCTCCTCTGTATAAAACTGTCCCTTGGTTTTTCATTGTGGTTAGTACTAAGGTCCACAAAGCTCTGGAAGCTCTGGTCTCTGCCTGCCTCCCAATCTCAAGTCCCCCTCTGCTTCTCCCTCTTCACCCCGCTCAGCCACACAGGACATGCTTATTCCTACCTCAGGGGCTTTGCATATGCTGTTACCTTTGCCTGGAAAGCACTTACCACCTCTCAAAGAAGCGATTTGTGACTATGCAATCTAACGTCAGTTTCACATCACACAGCACTTACATAAAATTATCTTTACAGTTTTATTCACCACTGTGTCTACACAGTGCCCACAACAGCGTTTGTCACTAAGTCCATGCTCAATAAATATCTGTGGAAAAAATGAATGTTTTGTCAAAATCCCAAATGCTTGCAAGTGGAAGAACTAGGATTTGAACTCAGGTCCACCCAGCTCCGGGAATGCTCATTTTTCTCCACCCACCCCACTTCATTTTATGAACTCATGTCCAGAGTTGAGTCAACCTGCCACTCAGTTTGTAACACATCACCACTATGAACAATTTCCGTCCTCTCCCCACCCTTCCATGGAGCCCCGTATCAGTGTGTTCCGTCTGCTTCCCTGAATCCTGCCTGGCCCTCTACTACACACAAGGCATTGGCTCCTTTGTGGACATGGTGCCATGTATAAAGCTCATTCTGTTGTTTATATTTGTACATGTTTACACTCAACGCTAATGTTCTCTACGTGCATCTCATGTGTTGCTTCTATTGGCTGCATGTGGTATACCATGTTCAGCATCAGCAGTTTTTTTATTCCCCCCTCCACCTGCTCCCCCCAGTGATGCACACTCAGCTTAGACTCAGGCCCGCATCATGTCACATACATCATTGCTGCAGACATCTTCACACTGTCCCCTTATGGACTGTCGGAGAACTCTTCTTGAAGTAGGACTTTCAGGCCATAAGATCATGCACCCTTGACTTTACAAAGTACCACGGGGGCTTTCCTGAGTGGCTGTATGAATTTACACACTCCCAGTGAGGGTTGTGGTTTTCTTTTAGCACCTGGTATTCCAGCTTTCAAATGGCTCGCCAATCCAATGAATCTAAAGTGGTGCCTTATTTTCAACTGGAGTCTCTGACGACTGGAGAATTTGAACCGCTCTTCATGCATTTGTCAATCATGGTGGTTCTCCCTTCTGTGAATTGTCTGTTCATATCCTTTGTCTTTTTTTTTCTGTTGGGTGTCTAGTCTTTTTTCTGATGATTTGCATGTCTGTACATATCTAAGTATTAATCCCTTGCTGGGTTTTGATGTTGCACACGTCTCCTCCCAATCTGTCTTTGTCCCCTTACTTTGTCTAAGGTGCCCTGAGTTAAAAGAACAATCCTCATTTTTATATAGTCAAATCCATCAGGTTTGTGCTCTTTGAGTTTTGTTTGAAGTATTTCCTCACCCGGCGATGACAAAGATTTTCTCTAACATCTTATTATACTGGCCTGATAGTTTTACTTACTATCTAGAAAAAGTGTTGCAACAAGATAGTTCACTGACTCTGGAGCCAAACTGCCTGCACTGGAATTCCAATCTTCTCCTTACTTGCGTTGGGATATTGGCGGGCCAGGACTAGGGTGAGAGCAAAAAAAAAACCTCAGTAAGCAAAATCAATATTTTAATGCATTATTTTAAAAATGAGATTTAAGGCAAATATCCATGATGAGCAAAATATCAAAATTTTAAATACAGGATTTGAACTTGCATGACCCACTTCACCCTTGTCCCGACCTTACCCTGAGCAAGTTACATAACCTCTCTGTGCCTCAGTTCCCTCATTTGTCATATGGAGGTAACAATAGTGTTTCTCTCATAGCATTAATTTAGGAATAAATGAGTTCATACATAGGAGAAGAGCACAATGCCTGGTACATAGATGCACTCGATCAATGTAAGGTATTAGTACAATTCACACTATGGTCCCTAACCCTATGGATTCTACCATTGAATGTGGTACAAGGAGGATCCAGATTTATTTCAATGTAGAGCGAGACAGTTTTCCTAGCGCCACCTATCAAACAATCAGTTCTTTCTCCCTCTGAAATGTGGTGCCACTTTTGTCATACATCAAGTACAGTATATAGTTGTTAACACATATGAGTATATCTACTGTATTTCCCCATGTATAAGATGCAGGCTTTTTCAAAAAATTTGGGCTCTAAAAACTGGGTGCGTCGTAAAAAAATCTACAACAATGAGTGCAAAAACAAGCGCAAAAAAAGCGGGAAATGCAAGTAAAAAATCTACAACCACTGTATAAGATGCACCCAGTTTTTAGATCCCAAATTTTTCGAAAAAGGGTGCATCTTATACATGGGGAAATATGGTATTTCAATCTCTCTTTTTGGTTCCTTCAGTCCCCTTGACTAATTCTTGACCAATATTGTATGCTTTTTATTACTATGGTTTGCAGTGTGGTTTAATACGGCAGGGCAAGTCCCCCCAAACCCCCAACACACACACACTTTGGTCATCTTTTTCAAACTTGATCTAGCTTTTCATGGACCTTTATTCTTCTGTAGAAATATTACAAAAATATTTTCAAAGTTCTTCAAAAATCCTCCCAATTTTCACTGATATTTTATTGAATTTCTAGATTAATTTCAGAAGAAACCACAGCCTTAAATGTTGAACTGTTCTATTCATTAACAATGTATGTTAATTCATTAACACTTTAGTTATTCATGTCTTCTTTTATAGTCTTAAAAACATTTTTTTTCTCCAAAACGTTCTGAGCTGTGGTTTTTATTTTGTAACTACTTTCTGAATTTTATTTCTGTTGTGAATGAAACCTTATTTTCTATTATATTTTTGAGTGAGTTATTGATAGTATGAAGTGTTATTAATTTTTTGGGGTAGCTTATTTTATATCTTTGTAACATTGCTGAACTCTCTAAATTTGTTAAAATAGTTTGTAGATTATTGGATTTTCTTTGCAGATATAATCATTCTTATTTATTTTTCTTCGTTTATTGCTTTGGTCAGGACTTCTAATACTATGCTAAACAGCATCATTAACAGAGAGCATTCCTTGCCTTGTTCCTGATCTTGAACGGCATGTGAATACTTATTCCATTATCCTTAATTGAATATGGCTTTTAACAACCTGAGAGTTCCTTCATTTTTCCTGTTAGTTTTTATCATAAATTGTCATAGAACTTCATCAAATGCTTTTTCTGTATATTTTGAGATAACCATATGAGTTTTTTCCTTTAGTTCATTGATGTAATAATGAATTACACTAGTCATGTTTCTAATATTAAACCATTTTTACATTCTTGGAATGAGCCCTACATGATCTTGATACTTTTTAAAAAATATTTTGGGGCTGGCCGAGTGGCATGTTGGTTAAGAGCTGGCTTGGGACACCAGCTCTGAGCAGCAGAGCCCCGGTTCAGATCCCACATGAGGGCCAGTGACACTGCCCTCTACAGCTAAGATGGTGACCAACAGCTCAACTTGGAGCTGGGCTGCCGTGAGTCTCCAGCAATGGCATAGGCTTCAGCCCCTGCTGCAGTGGGCTGCCATAGCGACCGTGTGTGGGCGGCAGCCAGTGTGAGCAGCCCGCAGCCAGTGTGAGCAGCCAGCAGCCAGTGTGAGCAGCCAGCAGCCAGTGTGAGCAGCTGGCAGCCAGTGTGAGCTGCCAAGAGCAGCCGTGAGCAGCCTCCAGAGGCCAGCAACTGATCTGCCTCAGCCGGGAAGAGTGTAATGATAATACCAACATGGCCAGTGAAGCAACATCCCCAACTAGACTGAAGAACAAAAGGACAGCAACTTTTCCCCTTCCCCCAACGTTGTTCCCCTCCCCCAATTCCCCAATAAAATCTTTAAAAAAAAATTTAATTGTGGTAAAATAACAATATTTATTATCTTAAACATTTTTACGTTCACGGTTCAGTCGTGTTAAGTATATTTACATTGTTGTACAATCTTCAGGACTTTTTCATCTTGTAAAACTGAAACTTTACACTGTACTCGTTAAACATCTTCATTTCCCCCTTCCCCCAACCAACCACCATTCAACTTTGACTCTATAAGTTGGACCACTCTAGGCATCTCATGTAAATGAAGTCATTCTTTTTTGTGAATAACATTCATTTAGTATATTGATGTATTTTTATATACACTAGCGGATTCAATTAGCTTACTATTTAATTTACAATTTTTCATATCTATATTTATCAGTAAAATGCTGTATACTTTTTCTTTTTTTTTTAAAGATTTTATTGGGAAATTGGGGAAGGGGAACAGCGTTGGGGAATCGGGGAAGGGGAACAGACAAGTTGTTGTCCTTTTTGTTCTTCAGTCAAGTCATGCCAGCTGTCCGCCAGACCCACTGCATCCTCTGCAGGTCACCCACGACTCACAGCAGCCCAGCTCCAGGTCCAGCTGTTGTTCACCATCTTAGCTGTAGAGGGCGCAGCGTCACTGGCCTTCATGTGGGATCTGAAGGGGGGGCCCTACTGCTCAGAGCTGGTGTCCCAAGCCAATTCTTAACCAACGCGCCACTCTGCTGGCCCTGGTGTATACTTTTTTTGCCTTATGGTACACTTATCTGGTTCAGGAATCAAGATTAAAGTAGCCTCATAAAATATGTTGGTTGGCTTTCTCTCTTTTTCTATTTTCTGTAACAATTTTATAAAATACAGACTACTGTTGCTTCAGAATTTGGCAGAACTTGCGTGTAAAACATCCCGTGTTGGTAAAAAAAACAAAAGCAAAAAAACAAACAAAGCATGTTTCCCTTTCACCTCAGAGGTCCCCACTCAGGGGACTTCTTGTGGGAAATGAACCAGTGTAAATAAATATCTGAAGCACTTAGCACCTGGGTCGCAGGGGACTGACAATAATCCTCCGCAGTTATGAGGATGGGATGAAGACAGTGCACAGGCCAGAAGGCATTCCCCTTACTCGTGACCTAAACCTTGAAAGTGGGAGAAGACTCTTACTGTTATCCTCCACAGCTACTTTCCGGAGGCGGAGAGAAGCGTTGTTTTTGGCCCCAAAATACATCACTTCTATCATTTATGTATTCCTTTATATTTATTGGGCACCTACTTTGGGCAAGACACTGTGGATTCAATTATGACACACCCACCACCGACTCCACAAGGGGCTCCCTCAGTCTCTTGGCGAACTAACGGTTCCCACAGGAATACCGAAACCTTCTTTCCCCTTACTCCTGGTTTTGTTTTTGATTTTTCAAAGAAGAATCCAGGAAGCAAAAATCAAGACTATTGTGCTAGATATGCAAAAAGAAAAGAAAGGGCCAGAAGGGAATACACAGAAAGAGTTTTGGGGGTGAAGTAACGGAAGGGCTCCACCTCCCCCATTCTCCTCGCCTATCTCTGTAATGCTGTTGTACTATTTCTACAACTTTAAATGGTGTGGCACAAGGCCAAGTGGGAGGGCGGCAGTCCTAATCAATTCAAGGAACTGATTGCTAGGGACGCCCCCGCCCCACCTTGCCTGTAAATTCTGGCCCCGCCTCTCTGATAGGCCCCGGTCCCTCCCCGCGACAGTCTCAGGCCCCGCCCCGATCAGACCCGCGCTCTCAGCGCAGGGAACCAATCACTGTCGGATTCCACGTTCCGTCCCTTTTTGACGTCTGCCCCCAGCCAAAATGGCGCCACCTCGGAAGTTGCCGAAGCGCTAGAAGGTACCGAAGCAGGTCCGGAAGTTGCCGAGCGAGTCCGGAAGTTGCCGAAAGAGAGCAGCGGGTAAGGAGGATGGCGGATGTAATCACAAGACTCCGGGAGGACGGGATCCAAAAGCGTGTGATACAGGAGGGCCGAGGAGAGCTCCCTGACTTTAAGGATGGAACCAAGGTTGGTATCTTACCCCGTCCCCTCAATCCCTCTGCGGCGCGGTACGCATGTGAGGCGGGAGGAGGCCTTAGGCGAGAGGTTGCGCATGCCCAGATAGCAGTGGCCGGTGACCCTACCACTTACATGCGGAGCTCGATGCTAATTGGTCTGGATTTATGTAGGGGTGAATTTGGACGCGTCTGCCCCGCCTCCGGGCTAGGCCCTGTGGCTGCATTGGTTGGGGAGGCCGTCAGTCATCATAAACAGGTTTGCTGGGGTTTGACCTCAGTGCTTGGCACAGAACCTCCCGCGCTGGAGAAGACCCTGAGCTGGAGACCCAAGATCTAGGAGTGGCCCTGGCACTGGGGAGGAGCCCTGGTGCCTCTGGGTTGCAAGGTTCAAGATCTTCTATAGATGGAAGAGTTTTCTTAAAATACTCAGACCAGCTTCCATTGTTTAGGTGGGAAAACTGAGGCCCTGGGATGTGCAAACCTACAGAACAGGCCCAGAGGTTAGGTCTGCCAGATCAGAACCCTTTGGCAGGTTTCTGACTGCTCTACCTGGCGTCCAGAGAGCAGTCATGCAGGACAAGCATATTAAAGGAATGACTAAAGATCCTGGCCGAGACTGGGGACTGAATCAGCACATGCTCCCTGACCAGTGCTATGCGAAGGTCAGACAGGTAAAGATCTTAGCCTGGCCCAGTGTGAGTCCTCTGAGAGCAGAGAGGAGCTGCATAGCTCTAGTGATCATGTGTATGAAGAGAGCTGCTTTCCCAGACGAGAGAAGGGGTGTGGGTGTGGCTGCATGTCCCCATGGACTGGGGGTTAGTGACCTTGAAGAAGGTCCTGGCAAGGGAGATCCTGGATTAAACAGACACCAGAAGCAGAGAACATTGTAAAGGTAGTGAAGATCTGTGAACAATGACACTGAAAGAACAGGGACATGTGATATTAAATAACCAATCACCAGCACTGAGTGAGTGCTCAGTATATGAGCACCATGCTAAATGCTTTACAAGTTTATTTCCTTTCCACAATGTGAGCTAGTAGCATTGTTGACTCCATTTTACTCTTGTGGAAACCGAGCTCAGAGAGGCAGCATGGAGTGGTGGTGGAGAGTGTGGGCTCCTCTAACCATATCCTGTTGAGTGCGTTCAGCCTTCAGACCTCTTCCCCTCTTCTCTCTGCACGTACGCACAGATGACCTCATTCAATCTCACCTCTTAAAACAAACTCTCCTTGCCTGGACTACCCCCAAATGTATATCTCTAGCCTTACCTGTCCTTTAAACTTGATATCGAGCTTTCTACTCACCATGGATGTCCACCTGGTTGTCCGGTTGGCAACTCAGACTTGACGTGCTCCACCCACGCTTTCTCCATCTTGGTAAAAGGCGCCTTCAGCTTTCTGGTTGCTCTGGTCCCAAACCTCCCAGTCTCCATGGCTCCTTCAATTTTCTCACGTCCTACGGCAAGTCCTCAAAATACACCCAGGATCTGACCACTTCTCACCACTTCTGCCATTACCACTCTGGTCCAGGCTGCCGTTGTCTTCCCCGCGCCCCCCGGGTCATTGCAGTAATCTCCTAGCTCGCATTCCTGCTTCTGCCGTCACCCCTCTACAACCTGTTCTCATCCCAGCAGCAGCAGAACCCACATCAGATCAGGTCCCTCCTCTGCTTGGAGCCACCGAGGGGCTTCCATCTGAGTAAAAAACAACGTCCTCACCACGCTCAGCTTGCAGGCCCTGTGGGGTCCATCCCTGCTGACCCAGTGACCCCGTGGTGTACCCTTCCCCCTCAGTTGCTGTGCTTCCGCCGCAGTGGCCCTGCTGCTTCTTGAACGCACCTCGCACTGTCCCTCTGCAAGGCTTTTTGCGCTGCTATTCTTTTGGTCTGGAAAGTTCACACCGCCTTTCTACCCCAGCACCTGCCTGGCTTGCTTCGCCCCTCCTCCCTTCAGCTCTCTGCTTATAGGTTGCACCCCAGTAACCCCTGCCCCATATATACTCCTGCGTTATCTGCTGCTGTTCTTTGTTTTCTGGTCCATATAGCACTTAGCTCCACCTTACATAGCATATTGTTTTGCTTGAGGCCCATCTCTTTCCTCTAGATCGGGGTCGGCAAGCTGTGGCTCACGAGCCACGTGCGGCTCTTTGGGTACGTTCTGTCTCAAAAGTTTGCCGACCCCTGCTCGAGATGGTCCATGTGAGCTCCATGTGGGCAGGGACTTTTGTCTGTCTTGTTCACTGCTGTGGCTGACGCAGAGCTCAGGTGCTTAGTAGGTGCCCCATAAATATTTGTTGGAAAAATGATTGGAGCCAGGCTGCTGGGCTCTCTCACAGCCTGTCCACGCATGAGCCATGTGTTTGGGCCCCTTACTTCCCTCTCTGTGACTTAGTTTCCTCACCTGGCTGGTGGGGTAAAAGTCACGTGGTGACCCCTGGGCGAGCCCTGTCCCTTGTGCCATCTGCAGGCTGGGAGCTGGCCTTGTCCTTGGGGGCTGGGTGAGGGTTTGTGCCCTTGCTGATCCCGCATGTGGCCTGCAGGCCACATTCCACTACCGGACTCTGCACAGTGACCAGGAGGGCGCCGTGCTGGATGACAGCCGCGTGCGCGGCAAGCCCATGGAGCTCATCATTGGCAAGAAGTTCAAGCTGCCCGTGTGGGAGACCATCGTGTGCACCATGCGTGAGGGGGAGATCGCCCAGTTCCGCTGCGATGTCAAGGTAACTGGTGTCCCTCCCCCCAGCCCCCTCACAAAAGGTAACTGGTGTCCTGCATCTGCCTGCGGTGTCTGTCCAGCCATCCCTGTTCCCCATCCCTGGTTAGCCACCAGGGCACTTTCTCCGGGGCACCACACCCCCAGGATATGGGCATCCGGGCCTCGACTTCACCTTCTCTTCTCCATTAGCCAGATTACAGCCAGGGGACTGGCTCTCAAATACAAATGACCTGTATAACTCCTTGCTTCAAACCTCTGCCTCCTGGTCACCATCAGACTAGAGCAGGGGTTGGCAAACTGTGGCTCGCGAGCCACATGCGGCTCTTTGGGTATTTTCCGTCTCAAAAGTTTGCCGACCCCTAGGCTAGCGCGTAAGTTGTGGCTGCTCACATGGCCCTGCAGGGTCTGGCCCCTGCTAGTCTTTTCCCTCCCACTCACCTCCCTTTTCTTTCTATCCTCTTCTTGGCCAAGATCCTCCTTCATATTTCACAATGAATTCCTGTATCACCACCCCCAGGAAGCCCTCCCTGACTGCTGGTGGTTGGCTTGAATCCCTCCTCTGGGTCCTCCAACCCCTTTTGCCCTGCATGGCCAGGATCTGGTTCTTTGCCTGGGTCTCAGCTACTGCAGGACAGGGGTCGACTTCAGAATGCTCCATGTGGGCCAGCCCAGAGCCAAGAATCAGGAGTGTCTGCTGGCTGGATGCAGACCGCAGGGGCACTGAGAGGAGCTGCATATGCTGGGGTAGGGGTATTTTGGTTCCCACTATCCCAGCAGCTGTTCCTAGTGCAAAGTCAAATGCTGGGTCCCGTATGTCTAAGGGTCTCCCCCAAGGGCTGTGAAGTTGCTGCCCTGAGCTCTGAGGTAGGCCCTAAATGGGGTGGGGGTGGGGCAGAAGAGAAGGCAGAGGTTCTGGGAACAGAATGTGGAGGGACCCCAGTAATGGTGAGTCCAGCCTGTGTGCTCTGCCCCTGGGAGGAGGAGGAGGAGGAGGAGGAGGAGGAAAGAATTCCACTGGGCCTGTGCAGATGGAGACAGGTTGACAGGGGGAGTGTGTGTTTGTGGGAGATTAGGGGGTGGGGGTGAGTGCTTGGTTTGGTTTGGTGGCCAGACTGTGTGACAGGAGCTGGGGTCTTCACTGGGAGAGAGGGCTGGGAGGCCGGAGTCCTGAGGGCAAAGCGCTCCTGCATTTCAGTGGCGTGGGCTCTGAGCCAGTTGCGTGCCGTCTCTGGTCCTCAGTGTCCTTTCTCAGTTGGCGATGGGGTAGGGGGCTGGGCCTTTTGGGCCACACTGACAGAGCCTCTAGTGCCCACTCACTCCTCTGCAGCATGTGGTCCTGTATCCACTGGTGGCCAAGAGTCTACGCAACATCGCAGCCGGCAAGGACCCCCTGGAGGGCCAGCGGCACTGCTGTGGCATTGCCCAGATGCATGAGCACAGTTCCCTGGGCCACGCCGACCTGGACGCCCTGCAGCAGAACCCCCAGCCTCTCGTCTTCGATATCGAGATGCTTAAGGTGAGGGGCCGCCACAGCTCAGGCACGTCTCCAAACTGCCACTGCCCAGCCTCAGAGCTGGCACCAGCCCTGCCTGCCTGCCCAGGGCTAGTGAGCTCCATGGATGGACTGTTGGGGAGCTAGGGAAGGGCAGGTACAAGAACACCTGTGTGGGACCCCTGGCTGTCCCCATGGGGCTCCCTCTTGAGGCTGCGATCTTCACTGTCTTGTTCACTATTCTGTTTCTAGAACCTGGCACGGTGCTGGGCACATAGGAGATGCTACATAAATGTTTGTTGAATGGTCAGTGAAGGATCAAGTGATTCTGCTTCTGGTGTCCATTGTCTGGAGGCTGGTCAGGGCTGCAGCTGTGGCAGCTGCGGTGCCCCTGGGGTTCCCCTTGACTTGGCCCATGCCCTGGCAGGTAGAGAACCCTGGCACATACCAGCAGGATCCGTGGGCAATGACAGATGAGGAGAAGGCAAGGGCAGTGCCGGTCATCCACCAGGAGGGCAACCGGTTGTACCGCGAGGGCCACGTGAAGGAGGCTGCTGCCAAGTACTACGATGCCATTGCCTGCCTCAAGAACCTGCAGATGAAGGTGCTGCCCGGAGGGTGGAGGGGGTGAGGTGGAGCCAGCAGCTCCGGTCTCAGCAGCGTTTCCCCTCTCCCTGCCCCAATGCCTCCAGGAACAGCCCGGCTCCCCTGACTGGATCCAGATAGATCAGCAGATCACCCCGCTGCTGCTCAACTACTGTCAGTGCAAGCTGGTGGCCCAAGAGTATTACGAGGTGCTGGACCACTGCTCCTCCATCCTCAACAAGTACGAAGGTGAGCGCTGGGCGGGGCGGCCGGGGCAGGTGAGGGGGGAGTGGGTGGGGCCAGCGAGGAGCCTCCTTCTCCCTATCACCGCTGGGCGCTGGGGTGCAAGACTGAGCCTTTGACATCACCCCCATTCTGAGCTCCCAGGCATGGCCGTGACCCTGTTGTGCCAATGAGGTATGAATGAGGGTCGGGAGGGCTCTGTCCCATGATGGGCCCACGGTACCAGAAGGCAGACTGGGCAGTTGGCTGGGTCCCTTGTGTACCTGAAGCCCGCTGGTACCCCGTACAGACAACGTCAAGGCCTACTTCAAGCGGGGCAAGGCGCACGCGGCTGTGTGGAATGCCCAGGAGGCCCAAGCTGACTTTGCCAAGGTACTGGAGTTGGACCCCGCCCTGGCGCCTGTTGTTGGCCGGGAGCTGCGGGCCCTGGAGGCACGGATCCGGCAGAAGGACGAGGAGGACAAGGCCCGCTTCCGGGGCATCTTCTCCCAGTGATGGGGCTCTTCCCACCCTGCCCAGCCCACTGCTGCCACTGCCAGCCCACCCACCCCCACTGTATCATGCTTCTCTGTATATAAAGGCCTTATTTATCTCTCTGGGCCTACTGAGCTAATCCATTGGGAGAGCCGGGGTCATCACCTCTCATTTCCTGGTACATGGATGGTCTTGGAGGGTCAAAGGATCAGGGTTCTAATGTCAGCACCCCATTCCCCAGCGGGGCCCTCTCTGGGCTGCAGTGTCCCTGACAGAGAAATGAAGATGTTCTCTGCCAAAAGGAAGTTTTCTTGCTAGTCAGGGCTGGGGTGCCCAGGAGCCTTCAGTCTTAAGGGGGAGACAAAGCTTGTGCCTGAGTGAGGTGGTCTTCCTCCTTCCCACCTCCAACCTCTGATCCAGTGGTCCCATGGTCTCAGCTTCTGGAGGCAGAGGTTTTAGTGAGAAGCCAAGTCTGGGCTGAGGGTGGCCCCTGTAAACTGAAAGGCTGGCCCAGGTGGGGAGGGCTGGGTGGGTTGACTCCAGGAAAAGGCCTTAGGTAGGGGGAGGACAGAACCCTCCACGAAAACTTGGGGGCCCAGGCCATCATCCTGGCCCTGCCTCTGCCCTGCTGTATGACTCTGGGCACAACCTGGCCCCCCTCTGCCCCTCAGGGTCCCCACTGAGCTGAAAACTAGGCTTGGCTGCTCTGCAAGGCCAGGCAGGTGGGCAATCAGGTAGGATGCAGGTGGTGTTTATTTTCTTGGATTTACACACTGGAAAAGCCTTTAGGTCCTTTCCACTCCGTCCTCCCTCCGCCCTGGGCTGGATCTCCCCGAGTGAAAGGGAAGTGACACTGAGGGGCAGGCAAAGATGCAGGGTGTGCGGCCGGGGAGCCCGGGCTGGGGCCAGAGGTCTGGGCCCCCAGCCTCCCACACACAGCCACGTGGGCCCCTCGAATGTGTGAATAAATAACCCAGGTCCAGCCACAGTTTGGGTCTCACTCTTCACAGTCCAACTTGAGGCTGATGCTTCTGGCCTTGCCCCGGGCCAGGGTGGTAGGCGGTGTCCCTGGGCCCTCGCGCTCTGCCTGGCTGGGACCCCTTGAGCGAAGCAGCTGGCTCTGTTTACGGAGGAAGTCCACAGGGGCAGCCGTGCCGTAGCTGCTCTTGGCTAGGGTGGCCCTCGAGGGTCCCGTGGGCGCGTGAGGGTGGGAGCCAGCCTCCAGTTGGCCCAGGTGGGCCACGTAGCCATCTGACAGGAACTGTGGGCAGAGGTGGGTAGGGATGAGGGGATGTTGGTCTCAGGCCCACACTGCCCTCCCCGTCCTCTCTAGGCTCCTGGGGAATGCTGGCTGCATTAGGCCTGGCACAGCCTGACTCTGAGTCCTCTCAGCAGATAGGAACCTCAGGCTGAGTCAGGCTTTCCTCCTAGTTCTGCTCCTCTCTGGGTCTCAGTTTCCTCATCTGTAAAATGAGATTCTTGGGGGGCGGATAACACCAGCTAACATTTAGCAAACACTTTGGTGCGAAGCCCTCTGTACACTGATGTGCCGTAAAGCACATGATCTTCATGGTAACTGTAGAGGTTGGTGCCATTTTATCATTTTGATTTTACAGACAGGAAATTGGGGTTTAGAAAGGTCAAGGTCCGTGCCCAGGGCCATGTTGGAGCACACTCCAGCCTGAGTTATCAATCTTGGTCTGCCTGGCAGCTTCAAGCTGCTCATGACCCCTGCCCTAGGAGGAGCCCAGGTCTCCTGAGGCCAGTCAGCCTCATAGATACCTCCCTCAGGTGCTTAACACAGGTAATCCTTATGGCCTCAGTCCCAGGCTCCTGGTCCCTGCCTTCACTTGGCCCTCACCTGGCACTGCGCTTGCAGCTTCCGCACAGCACGGCCCACGATGTAGGTCTGGCTCGCGGGCAGGCCCAGTGCCGCATATACGGCCACGTCTTTGGGGGACCCATAGCCCGCCACAATGTTCAGTTCCACCTGTGGCGGGGAGACACCAGTCAGCCGCCCCAGGGGCGGGGCTGGGGGGCTGGGGGCGAGGTCTGGTAGGAGTCCAGGGTCAGATGTTTCGGGAGCCCTGCTAGTTTGACAGAGGCGGGGCCATGGAGTCCTACATCACCACGCCCCCAGGGGGGAGGGACCAGACGGATCTCTAGTTGGCTCCAAGGACTAGGGGCCTCTAGGAGCACAGAGTGCAGGGCCATAAGAGCCCTCTCCCGTGGAGTTCGGAGAACGATGGGGGTGGGACCAGATGGGCCGTCCTATAGCCCAGGGCAGGGGCGAGGATGGAGGTGGGACCCTTCTCAGCCGCACCTCCTGCACCAGGCTCTGCAGAAACATAGCCTTCTGGCGCAGCGGGTCGTGGGTGAGGCCGTCGCAGAAGGAGACCACGCCGTGGGGGAAGTTGTGCTGTGACAGCCAGGCCACCACCCGGTGCTTCTGCATATCCGGCCGGCCCGTTACATATACGATCAGGTAGCCCGCGTCCTGCCAGTGCCTGTGGGGTAGGGCTGTGGTGAGCTCCAGGCACCAGAGGTAGGGCAGGTTTAACGGTGAGCCAGGTGGCAGCCGCTCCTACCTGACCACGTCCACTGCGCCGGCGCGCACCTTGGGGTCACTGCCCATGATGGAGACGCTGGCGGTAAAGGAGCCATCGATGCTGAAGACCACGGCCTCGGTGCCTCGAGCCACCACAGTCAGGCAGCACTCAGCGTATGTGTGGTCGCCCCTGTGGTCCGCAGGCGGCGTGAGCGGCATTGGGGCAAGACCCGCGGAGTCCCACCCCACAGAAGCCCGACCTGCCCCACGCTCACCTGACCATCATGCGCACAGGGTAGACGCCGATGCCCAGCGCACGCTCGGGGGGCACCGGGAAGGTGAGGCGGCCCGAGCTGTTAGTGACCTCGGTACCAAAGTGGACCCACTTGCCCGACAGCGGCTGCGTCATGATGTAGACGTCCACCTGGTGGGGAGAGGGGGGCGAGCGGGTCCATGGGGCAGAGACCCTGGGCACCCCCTGACTTTGAATGGAGGAAAGCAGAGGCCGGCCTGTCACGGGGGTGGATGGGGCTGGGCGCTCAACCTGGCAGGACCACAAGCTGGAGGCGGGACCAGGGCTGGGACAGGTCTACCCTGGGCGTAAGCCGCTGGGTCCTAACCTTCTCTCCGGTGAGTGTGACCACGTCCAAGGGCCCGTACATGAAGCGTCCATTCAGTACCTGGGGGCGGCCCTCGCATACCACTGTGTCGCTCGCCCGGTGGTTGGAAGTGACGTTCTGGCGAGAGGAGACAGCATGAGCCCGCAACCAGATGTTGGGGATGCCGGAGGAGCTGACGAGGGGGGACCATAGCCCAGGCAGGGGCGGAGGCTGGAGGAAGCCGGGCTGCCGTGTTGAGAGGGGCTGAGGCCCGAGGGGTGAGCGCTTTTGCCGACCTGGACCTGCGGTCCTGAGTGTGGGTGTGTGTGTATGTACTGCGGTTCGGTTCCGAGGGGGTGGAGCCACAAAAGGACAGGATGCAGAGGATGGGTTAGCGGCCCCCCAGACCTGACTTGGCAGGGGTTGGGGAAGAGACTAGTGGGGTTTCCGGAGGCAGGGCGGACGCACGAGGAGGTGGGGCCAGGACCACAGGGGGCGTGGCGGACCCGGGAAGGCCGTAGGGGCGGGGATACTGGGGAGAGGGGCCAAGGCCTCGCTTTTGAGGGCAGGAGAGACGTGCACCTACTCGGATCTTGACTTGCGTGCGTTTGCGCTGCCACTTCTCCCTGGGGAAGGCGGGGCTGTAGATGGATGGCTCCTCGCACTCGGCCAGCTGTGGCCGTTCCTTCTCGATCACCTGAGCAGAACCGGGTAAGGTCATGTGGGGCTGCCTTTTCGCGACTCCCTCGACTCCCCATCCATCTCCTGCCCGGTATCCCGGGACCCACCTGGCGCAGGATGAAGGCCACTACATCGGCTGACTCCCAGTAGCTGGCGTGGAAGAGGTGGGGCAGCGTGACGGTGGGGAAGGCAGTGAGCGCCTCGGGGCAGTACAGCGAGTAGTCAATCCGCTTGGTCCCCCACCATCGCTCCAGGACTGCACAGCCATGGCGGGCAGTGAGTCAGGGTGGCCGGCCTCCCACCCGTGCCTACCTGCCTGACCCCTGGGTGCTCTGCCCTCTTTTCCTCCAAGCCTGCTTTGCTGGGTGTTGGGGTATGGGAGTTGCAGAGCGGATGCTGGGGGCAGGGGTGTTTCAGCTGGGCTTCGGAGGTGGAATTAAGGTCCCCTCCCCAGGCTGGGTGGCTGGCTGACTTACTTTTAACCACCTCACTGGTGGTGCTGGGGGCAGCTGGCTGGGTCTGCGGCTCGGTGGCCAACTCACTGCCCTTCCAGAAGGCACCGCTGGCAGAGGTGGGTGTTGAGGGCACCAACATCTCCAGCTCCTCCAGAAAGAGGCCTGAGTGGGTCTGCAGGGTGTCAGCTGGGGGAGGAGGGGCAACCTCAGCAGCAGGTTGGGCCAGGGTGCCCTCCTATCTTCCCACCTAGGGGCTCCAGGACAGCTCAGCCCCCACACCTCCACCATCTTCTCTGCCAGCCCTCCCTGGTCAGGTCTTGGCTGAGGTTGAACTGCCCCACATCTGCGTAGAAGTGAAGAGTGGGGACATTCTCCCCTCTTAGCTCACCCCCAAAGCCTGCTGCATTCTTGCCAGAATGCCTGCCTCCACCACCCCAACACAGGTCCCCTTGTCTCATGGAGCCAAATGGGTATCCACTTGCATGCATACACGTACATGCCCCACACTGACACATGAACACAAGTGCGTAAGGGGACACAATGCACCCTTAAAACAGACACAGCAGGCCCCCACCCCCACCCACACTGGTGGCTGCTTTCAAACACTGGCGCTCCAGTGTCACTTGGCTTCCTCTCTCTAGCCCAGTCATCACCACTGCCCTCCGCTCCTGGGCAGAGAATGTCAGAGAGTCTTAGCGAGGCAGACCTCCCCAGGGGCTGGAGTTGAACTCCCTGGTCCTGGGAATGATGACCTGAGAGGTTAACAGTGATGTGGGAACTACCTCATGGTTTTCTGGGTGTGAGGGTCCCTCCTCGCCCCTCCCTGTCGATGCCCTCTT